TAGGTAGGTTGTAAGAGAGAGGTGGCTCAAGAGAAGGGATTTCGGAAGGGGAGAAGGCGTATGAAACCGCCATTTCACCCACCCTTGATGCTATACTCTGTGCCTAGAGCACCCCCCCCCTCCTACCCACAGTGCTATACTGCAGCTCCACGGCTCTGTCTGCGGGAGAAATGCGATCCCCACTCCTCACTGATATGAATACGACTCCCTCGATGAGTATTTCAGTCGTGTGTGGTCCGTCACGCGGAGCGGTCGGTTTTCTGTCAGCTCCCATCGTACCTGTTTTCTATCAAGTTTGAGGAGTTTTACCGATCACACTCTATTCACTGTATTCTTTTCTACTATTCAAGTCGTCCTGGGCCCTAATTGGCCTGACTTTACTGTCTTGCTGTTTTATTCGAACCTTTTCATCCAGTGGTGGGATCGATCCCTTTATCGATCATCCGTTGATCTGAAGCGAGTTTCTTGGTGGCTAGAAACGCTGATTGGTTAAAGCCACCTCATCAGGTGTATTTGTGATTTTACTAGTTTTCAAATGGAGACCCCCTTAACTTCTGAGAGTAATGCACTTCAGACCCGTAGAGGGAAACGCCATCGCATCGACCTCGCCAGCCCGCAATTCGAAGATCAACTGAAACGAGCAATTGACTTGATCGCTAATGATCAGTCACTGCCTCCACATTTGAAGGCGGCTATGGGCTACCTCTTCGAAATCAGGAACGAGATGAATGAAGTCTTGGCAAGGAATGCGCAGCTATTAGAGGAGAATAGGCTAGTTAAGGAAAAGAACTGTATGCTGCAGAGTGAGATCGATTCTCTTAAGTCTCAAATTAATGTTCTCAAAAAATCGCTATCTGATGATCCTCCCCAATCGAAGGAGGGCCCTAATGAATCTTCTTCTCTCGCGTTTGAAGAAATTGAACGTAGGCGATCTGTAGTAATAGCTGGTGTTAGTGAATGTGATTCTAATGTATCCTCTGTAAGGGTTTCATATGATATTGCCTGTGTACGCAGAATTAATGATTTTCTCTCTATCGATTCACACCCAGTCAGTGTTTACAGGATGGGTAAATATATGGCCGGTAGACCTCGCCTTCTGAAGGTTGTATTTCCTTCTTCTTTTTTCTCATCACTGCTCCTTAGAAGAGCGCCACGATTGAGATTTTTCCCCGAGAAGGGGATCTTTATCAGACCTTCGTTACCTCTTTCCGAGCGAAAACGTTTTAAAGTTTCAAACGGTAGTAGTGTCGTTCCTAGTACCTCTCCTGTTACTCTGTCATTGTCTTCCGGTACACAATCAGATAGCAGAAACAATTTGAATGATCATAATAGGGATACTCTCTCATGTTCTGTCCCCACCTCATCTCTCAGTGAAGCACAACCTTTAAACATGTAAAAGGTCTCAGGAATACAGGCTCAAACGTTTTGTGCGTCGTAGCAAATGTAAGATCTCTAAGTAAGAATTCTCAAGCACTTTCTCTGCTCATAAAACAAAAGAGCCCCGATATTGTAGGAATAACCGAGACATGGCTCAACCCCACCATAAGCCTAGCGTCCCTTATTCATGCAGATTTAGGTCCTTATAGCGTTATGAGGTGTGATCGTCTTACAAAACGTGGAGGAGGATTGGCCCTGTTTATAAAGAACGTTTTTTCACCTATGACCGTCTTCTCTGAATCACTGGCAAATGCATATGAAATTTTATGTTGTGATTTCTGTATCAGGTTGTCGAAATTGCGGATTATACTGGTTTATCGAGCACCCAGCTGCACAACAACTGATTCAAATCAGTTGATCAAAGCAATCAGCGACATGGTTTCCTGTAATCAGCCCTCTCTGATTGTTGGGGACTTCAACTTCCCATGTATTGAGTGGAAATTTTCGTTTCATTCTCAGCTGAATCGACTTACGCCTGCTGCTCGAACTTTTCTGGAAATGTGTAATAGTCATTCATTGAGTCAATTCGTTGACATTGCAACGTTGAATGGGAGGACCCTTGACTTGGTTTTGTCCAATGAAGAGAGCTTGATCGAGAACCTGGAAGTATGCTCACCCATTGGTGGCAGTGATCACGCATCTATTATATTCACTATCAACGCTCATATACTAAAGGACGAAGCAATAACCAGGAGGGATTTTGGTAAAGCGAATTATGAGAACATTGTATGCCACCTTGCGAGTATTGATTGGCTTGGTTCTCTAAATTGTGCAAGCACGGTTGACGCGAAATATGAACTGTTTTTGGGCATTCTCATGGACTGCATTGAACGTTACGTGCCATTAGTAGAGAAGTCGCTTGGAGGTTCAGCCTTACCTCCGTATCTTGCTAATCTGACCCAGAGGCGTGAGCGGGCATGGCATAAGGCACGGATGACTAAGAACTCGGCCGACGAAAGGGAGTTTGAGAGACTAAATAGAAAGTTAGAAAAGAAACTCAAAAAATTTAATACATCAGTCGAGAAAAAAGTTATTAATTCAGAAAACAAAGCAGCTTTCTTCAAGCTGTTGAAATCACGGCTCACCCTGAAAACCAAGGCTACAGTGCTAGTTTCCCCTAGTGGGACCCCGGTCTATGATGACAAGGATAAAGTGGAGTTATTGGCGTCTACTTTCCAAGAAAACTTTTGTTGCCACCATAGGGCCATTGAGGAATTACTACCCCAAGAAACGAAATTTGCTCCCATGAGTGATTCCGTGTGGTTTTACCGTGACGAAATTCTTGAGTTACTCCTCAAATGGCCGGAATCGAATGCGCTCACGCCGGACCTTATACCCCTTCATTTCATAAAAAGGGTGGCCCACTGTTTAGCTGGTCCACTTGAGTACATTTTCAACTTGAGTTTCATGAATGCAGAAGTTCCTCGTCGATGGACCCAGTCATTCATTACTCCCATCCCCAAGAAACCCCCTCATAATTTACCACAAAATTTTAGACCGGTTAGCATAACCTCCATTTTTTCGAGAGTTTTTGAAAAAATTTTGAAAAAGAGAATCCTTGATCATCTTCAGAAGTATAATATCATATCTCCCAAACAACATGGCTTCCAAAAAGGAAAGTCAACGGTAACCGCGATGATTCAAGCTCTCAATCATTGGACAAAATGGTTAGATGAGGGTAAGGCAGTCGATGTCATCTACCTCGATTTTTGCAAAGCTTTCGACAGAGTTCCTCATGAAAAGCTGCTGTATAAAATGAGGGATAGTTGGAATCCACCCAAGAATTATTGCATGGGTTAAAGCTTTTCTAACGGGACGAGAGTTTTCAGTTCGTATCAATTCTTCGTTTTCATTTCCTAGACTGGCATACAGCGGAGTACCTCAAGGCGGGGTTCTTTCACCTATCTTGTTCAACATTTACACTTTCGACCTTATTCCACTTATTGAACAAACAAAAGTCCAAAGTTGTGCATTCGCTGATGACTTAAAACTTTATCATTCCATCGCTGAGGATGACGACGCAAGAGAGCTCCAAGAAGCTTTAAGTAAAGTTGAAAAATGGTCCGAAGATTGGGATCTGCCCCTTTCTGAAACCAAAACGAGTGTACTACATCTTGGCAAACGGAGTGCTCGATATACCTATGAGATCAAAAACACAGCCCTAAAAACTGTGGATCAAGTGACAGATTTGGGTTTCCTGGTTGATAGAGATCTAAGCTTTGATGCTCACTGTCAAGTGATCGCTAGGAAAGCAACCGCGATCATGCATAACTTGTTCAGAGCCCTGGCAACTAGGAACGCTTCCGTACTTTTGAAAGCTTATAAAGTATACGTTAGATCTGTGCTGGAATATGGCACAGCAGTTTTCAATCCTTTCAAGATTAAGACTATCAAAAGCCTAGAGGCAGTGCAAAATAGCTTCACACGAAAGTTGATGATAAGGGTTCTTGGATTTATGTACGATCAAATACCTTCTAGTAATGTTAGAAACAAAAATTTTGGGCTATCCACACTGCAACTCAGACGAAAAAGAAATGACCTTTTGCTATTACATAAACTTATCACTGGTGAACTAGGCCTGGATTTGACGCAATTCTGGACTCAGAGGACCTCAGTGACAAGAGGCGGTAGGCTGAAGCTAGACGTGGGCAGAGCCAAGTTGAATTGCAGACGTCATTTCTTTACGCTTAGAACAATTCCCTCCTACCAAAAGTTATGTAAAAAACATCAAATGCCACTATCCTGTAAAGCATTTAGAACTTATTTGAATTTGTGTTTGAGCCAGCAAATCCTTTGACCTTGGGTAAACCACTTATTATTCCCTCAATTGTATTCTTCTCGCATGCTCCTTTCTTCATATTATATCTTTTGTTGATCTAGCTTGAAATGCGGATAAGTTTTTGAATCACGTTATAATGCTGTTGTTGTGGACATTTCGCACGAGTTCCATCGTGTAATAAATATATATATATATGAGAGGATGGATTACACGTAAGAGCCCTGCATAGTCCTCAGAACTACGCAGAGACTCCATACTCAAGACACCGCGCACTCCGACATCTACGGGAGAAACCGCCAGATCTTCAGTAACTATTCTCTACAGAAATGTAGAAGATCGCAGGATTAGAGAAGCATTGCTAAAAAGAAGTGCACCACCGATCACCCACTATATGTATTGCCCACAATATACAGTATGTTTTCTTGTGCCTCTCGAGGTTTTTAGGTGGAACAGTTTATTTTAGCGGCCTGACGTTTCGACGTAATCGTCTTTTTCAAAGGCCTAAAAGTGTTTCGAGTTTTAGAGATGTGTACTACCCCGCCAAGCGCCTAATCCACCCCAGCATTTCCGATGACATGGTCCTAACCCAACCGAGGATACTAGATAGGCTCCGTTGTATAGCAGCACTGACTTTATCAGAGATCGTTCATCTCTGATAAAGTCAGTGCTGCTATACAACGGAGCCTTTCTAGGGCGCAGTTGCAAGATGTGGTTCAGTTAGTGAACATTCCTAACAAGAACATCAAGCAACAACTAGTCCGAAACAGGCTCTACGACAAGCAGTGCGCACTAGAAGAGTGTGTCATCTGTCCGTACGGGAAAATTGGTGATTGCGCACAAACGGGTGTGATCTACCAGATTGAATGTCGGGCATGTGGATACACATATATCGGAGAAACAGGAAGACCGCTCGCTAAACGTATCAAAGAACACCTAGCCAGCATGAGGCGTGGTAATCTTGCAACACGCTTGGCAAGCATAAAGCTGAAGTGCATGACGGCACAACTTTGAGATAAAATGCACAATATTGGCGCAGGAGACGGAGATCGCGGCGAGGAAAGCATTAGAGGCGTTTTGGATTTCTGTTAGGAATCCTCGTATGAACAACCGAGACGAGCGTCCGTCAATTTCCAATGATCTCCTCCCATTCATACCATACTGCGAGCTGTGAAGTCACCAGTGTACGTGCGCCTCCGTATTTCGATACGTATAAGGGGACGCTATAGTAAGTCCCATTCACTACTGGTCGACTAATGGTATAGCGGGTTATTCCGCTTGCGGTGGAACAGAGGTGAGCGCTTCTTTCGTTTTGCGGGAGATTCTCGGTTGGGTTAGGACCACGTCATCGGAAATGCTGGGGTGGATTAGGCGCTTGGCGAGGGTAGTACACATCTCTAAAACTCGACACTTTTAGGGGCCGCTAAATAAACAATAACGATTATT